ACAATAAAAGACAAATATGAGATTCTATTAATTAGTCCATATACTTTATTTTGATAAACGGATCGAAAGAAAACAATCCACGATTAATAAATACATACTCTGCAGACAATTATAAATATCCGGATACTTATGTGCAGGAGTATTTTGAGCACTAAATAGTATAACAACGTCCGTATAGAATATACATGGCAGCAGTGGTTCCAACGATTTATTCGGATACATTGCGTGCCACATCGCCGTGAATTTCCACCCCACGTTATCGTTCACAGGACTCGGATTAGTTACAATAGACTTCACGTGCGATAGGAATCGCCCTACTAGAGATATCACTTTTGCTCTGACCTTTGCAAATTCTAATATCGCTGCTCTTTTGAGACAGTTAGAGGGAAACCGTTATTCTGCCTCGGCGAAGATAATCTCCATTTCATTCGAGTGTCCTCGATTTCATGATTTACCAATATTCAATTTGCCGAGTCAGTATCCCCTTCGATCGACTTAGTACCGCCATAAGATCTGTTACGAGTTACGAGTATATCGAGCTTCCGGAAGAGAAATAAGAAAATTATGTCTATGAAACGTTCTACATAGGCAAAGTTTTCATTTTTGAAAACTATTTTTGTTACTGAAATTTTGACATGGATATTCTCCAGCTCTGACCACAGTTTGTACTATTCAAATCTCGACTACTAGATTTTTCAGCTGAAACGAACTCGTCGACATTGTTCGGTATACATTCTAAAGTTATTCTTGCTTTATAAAGTGGAGAAATGTCTCGTCGGAGAATCCACCTTTGCCTTTAGAAGGGAGTCATACCGAAGGGCTTTAATGCCCCTTCCAGCAGATCTTTATGGTACACTTTCTTCGCGGTTTTATTGCCATTCTCAAAGAAACCAAGGTGCGTAACATCTTGATGGGACACTTTTTATAAAAACACTGCTGGCTGGTAGATCTGAATACATTTGGGAACGATTAATAAAGCCAGAGTTGGAGAATATGGTCTGCGGAACTTCTAATAAAAACCTTGATAGCCTGACGAATTTGTTTCAACATGAAAAAATTGACTACCATTTAATTAAAAACATAAGAAAACACCAGATTAAAATCTCGAGTTTCGGTTTAATTAAATTGCATAAAATGGGGAAACAAAGAGCGAAAGGAATTGTTTCGATTATGGACGATCGTGTAACGATAACGACTTGAAAGAAACGAATGAAAGCACAGTTCTGAGTGGAGGGAATTATTTGTTTCAATCGGAGAAACTTTTACACCGTACAGACGTACGAAGTTATTGAAAATGGTGCACACGTACGATCTGGGATAATCTTAAAATCATACGATATTCATTCTCTTTCACGAGTCAATAACTCAATTCGATAGAATCTGAACTATTTGGTGAGTGTATCAATCGACAGCTTACGTGAAAATTTTTACAATCAAATCACTCATCCTATGTTACTATTGAGTTTAATATTTATCATTTGACTTACAGTTGCATGGACTAGTTCACATCGAATACAATTTGTCTCCAGATATTTTTATATTAAATTCGTTCTATATGTCCTGCATTCAAGTTTATTAATTATTTTTATTCAATTGTCGGTACTACGTGTTTCTGTTTCGACTGCATTATGGTATACCGTTACACGACTGTGTCGATACTGAATCATTGTGAATGAATTTCATTCTACAGAAGGAAATACATACGTTGTATATGTATGCAACAGGAAATATACTGTTCGTATAGTGAAACGTTTGTATAACTAGTATTCCAATATGGGAAGCTCTACTGTATTGGTTACTATATTAAGAAAATTTGATTCTCATCGACCGTTTTAAACCCCTAGATATGCACCATTGCAGGTAAAAAAATGCATTTAAAGTATTACGTCAGCGCTAAGAACTGTCTCAGATTATAAATTGCAAACAAATTGGCGCAATTCGTTTAAACGATTCCCACTGGTATTCGAGCACCCCGAGTAACCAAAATGTCTGTACTTTATCTCGAAAACAAGTCGTGGCTCGATTCCTCGGTGATTTCTTACGTCGATTCATCGAGTACCGCCGTGGAGAAAACGGATAACCGAAAAGAAAACGCTTTCGGCAACTTCTTGTTGGTTGGATTCCATCTGAAGGAGACATTGCTCAAGGCTCCGCTTAAGATGGTGAAAAATCTTTCAAGGACCTTCGAATCTGGGCCATGACGTACCCATTTTTTGCTCCCGCGATACGTTTTGGCATTCGTTTTACTACGAAAACACAAGAGCGTGATCTCGCGTTGCGAAAACACGCTCAGCTTTAAGAATTTGGAATTTAAGACCACGTCCCTTTAACGAGTCTGCTTAAACGAGCATTGGATGACGCTTGAAACGTTTTTCTTTTTTTTACAACGAAGCATAGAACTCATTTATAGTATTAATATAAAAGCCGCAAAATCGAACGCGGTATGAATGTTTTTGAACAGAAATACGGAAAACCTTTCAATTTGCAGCAAGGTATAATAAACAGAATAAATTCAAGGTACGTCAAATTGCCTCGATCATATATTTTGAATGACAATCCTCTAATCACGCGCGACGTCTGCAAATGAAGCCTATCAATGAACCATATAATTATCTGAATGGCAGTAATACGATCCAGATTAAATTCGAGGAAAATATGACATCAAAAGCTCTATCACTGATTTATTTACGCCAAAATAGTATCACGATATTATTGATAAATTAGATCGTTGGAAAAAGAAGATGTGAAATGATTTGATACCAAAGTGTTCAGAAATTAAAACGATGAAAAAGTGAAGAATTAAGATAATGGTTATAAGGAGCAATATTATCATCATCGCGATTATGCCTCGAGAACTCTTACGTTCGTTTCGCATTTCAAATATTAACTCTTGACACAATGAAAACTGCAAGCAGTTTGACGCAAAGTAAGGAAACCGTTTCCCTAGTTTCCCTATTATAAACGTTGTTTTTTAGTACAAAAAACTGGCAAGCCCGCTTTTATATTGTCCTTACACTATTAGTACAATATTCAAGTTTGAGGACGAACGTGTTTGTTACAGATTACTTCTGAGAGATTGTTTCCAGAGGTACTTCCAGAATGGCATAAGCGACTTTTTCCTCCAGTTTGCGTATTCTTACCGAGGCTTTCTGCAAAGTTGCATACGAGAGTTTGCATTTATGTCCTCTTGGCGACGATATTCAGAGCTTTTAGCCGGAGGCACTCCTTCGTACGTCACCGATATAGATCTGAGAGAAGTGTTTCTGTTCGGGGGCGGTATCCGTGAATCGAAAAAAACGCGAAAACCAAGGCGGAACACGAGGATGTTAATAGACAAGGCGAGGATTTTTCAGAATAATTTCGAGCAAACAATCCGCGAGTAAAATAACGAAAAAACGTGGCAAGATTGAATATCACTACTGTTCTCCCCCAATCGTGTATTAATTATTACTTGTTTAATGTTTACACTGCGTGAATATGAATTCCAACAATTTGCACTATATCGTTACATTGAATTACGAATGCACTCATTTTATAATTGTTTCGAATGCACAGAAATTACGTTACACGAAACGATTAAACAAAGCTCATAAGCACTCGAAGTAAAGTTTTAATGGGGTGGAACATACGTTTCCAACCACTTTTACGTTTGTTCTATTGTTCTTGACTGGAGTTTCCTCTAAGCCTCTGTTAAAGCGTGTAATTTAAAAACCAATTTTCTAAATTGTCTTATAACTAGTTGGAATAACCGAGGTTCTGTAGCAATCATGAATTACCATGCAAGAGCGGTAAAATGGTAGGGAAACGAACTCGTACGATCCCGAGTTTCGCGAATACGCGACAAAAGTGGACGAGGAGCGCGGAGATTCAGATCTGGATGAAATTTCAAGGGCAAGTAGCGTTTTACCAGAGATTTTATTTGCACCTGGAGAGTCGCTGAGAGCATTGATACCGAGTTCCAACTGTCAAGAGTGCGCGGTATAGCGAAGTCAAGCCACAGCATAACTTGCTGGAGGTACAATGATTGTATGCCTCTCAGCGACAGCACGAGCATGAATGCCTACCGAGAGATACTTTTCCAGCTTTTAGAAGGGACAACCCGTGACAAACGTCTTTAGAATCTTCGTGCGACTTTTTAGGAGCTTTCTATTTGCATAACAAGCTTTGATATATGAATCCTGGCGGGGCAACTTCTGCATACGTAACCGTGAAACTTCATTGATCATTGTTTTTCGTGAAATTATAATTTACGATGTGCTTGGAACTCTGTACGAGGCAAACGTGGATGATATATGAGAACGAACAGCATTGGTATCGTTTTTAAAAACTACACTGGAATTTTAAATCTTGTATTCTTTATGATTAAACTTTTCCCCCCATTTATTTCTGTATGATGAGAAATAACAAAGGAAAAGATTGGCTCGAGTTTCAAGAATATAAGGCACGATTTATTTAATTCAAGTTAGACGTATTCGAGGGCTGTATTGAAACTATAGGTTCCTAAATCATTTGTTGTTTGCTTTAAAGTGTAGATTGGCTGAAGCTTTTACGCGCAAATGTAAATCATTGTGCATTTCAACTGAAGTCTCTTCTCGTTCAAGAGGGTACTCTAGTTTAGAGTATTATTGCATGTTTTTAAGATCTGAAACTCATAAGGATTTATTTTTTATTTTTTTCTGATTTCTTAACTACTGATACACCTGTTTAAATTTGAACCCTTTTTATTTGTCTTTATTGTTTACCCATCAGCCAGAGCTTACGTAAAAATATCATAGGGATAAAGGTAAAACAAAAAGTGTTAAGGTAATAATACTTATATGGAGAGGATAAATTTTTTTGAATTTTACATGAAACATTATCTAATAAAAAATGTTTTCACGTGTATGAATAGATGCTACTCATAAAGTGGTACGAGATTTGATCATTTTTTGGCTGGATATGCAGGGAGAAATGCTTCAGAGTCGCTGCTCTTTAGGATTAAATGCGAAAGAACGACTCACCAGCAACTCTTGCGTCCTTGCATGCCTCGTACATATCCTGTTTGATCTCCGGATTGTCATCTGCGATGGTTTCGCCAACAGTGACGAACCTCTCGACCGCCAGATTTACTGCTTGCCCGACCCTGGCGACCGCATGTAGACTTCTGTCCGAACATAGCGGACGTTCTCTGTGCGACACCAACGTAGAGATCTGGAAAAATGAATAAAAACAAACACGTTACGATTTAACACTATCCTAATCGAAGGCAACAATTACTCAAACGAACATATTAAATCCTATCGTGACGCAGATCGCATTATTTGCTTGGTAGACCCTCATAATAATAATGGTACTAACAAGGAAAGTACTTGAACCCGGAAATTCTGATATAAATAAAACTTTGAAGTATGCTAGAAACAATGTTACACTGATCCAATTATTTGTTCACGAATGACAAAGAATCCTCGATTTTCAGGTGAAAATACCCAGTCTGCATGGGTAAATAAAGTTGAATTTTATTTGCATGAAATCTAAATGGTCGACAACTTTTATTCTGCGACACGTACAGCAAAATGATTACCAAAATTATAAGGGTACATTAATATGGAGAAAAAGTGTATGCTCGGTAGACATGCAGTAACGAGAACAGAATTAGGGTATGTATTTGTCTGGCACAGCACCAAGTTACCATTTTAGCTTGTGAATAAATTAGCTGTTTAAAATGAATTAATTCGAGCAGATTAACTCTCGTAAATTGCTTGAATTTCCACGAACATAATGTATAGACGCGATACATTGCACAAGAACACCGATCTACAGCATCTCTCATTAGTTAACCGTTTCGAGTTTATATACTAATTTTAATTGTTTTCCGTTAAAACACTTATACCCTGAGATCCATGCAATAATACCGTTAATGGCGAATTTAATTAAAATAAATACGATGCATGTTCATCGGATAATTTCGTTACTTGCGGTAATAAATTAATAGATCACAGAATCTAGAATGTCATTCTCAATACGGACACGGACACGGACACTTCAAATAATATAATAATTCCCAAGGATGAAATGTTGAAAAAGCATTTCCAGGTAAATACGAGTCCTCGAATATCGCCGATCTTGAATATAAAAATAAGAGAAAATGCGGGATAGAGAGAGGCAGGGCTCATTATTACCCAAGTTCAAACCAGCTCTAATTAATGCTTCGTCTCGGTGTACGTTGCTGTGAAAAAAAAACAAGCGTTACCGACACACGCGAAGCTTTCCTCCGCTTGTAATGGAAAGCGCCTACGCTCGGATTGTTTTGTCTGCCGGCTAACGACCAGACAGATCCTCCCTGTCTCTCCGCCCTCTGCGTCTTCCTCGTAAATGCCAAACGTGTATTCAAGAAAGCTGCACGAGAGTAACCCCGTTACTTGGCCTGTAGCTGCAGGGGTCTGTATACCTCATTTTCCACACAATCGGACAATGCATTTAGCCGCCGCCCCTCTTAAACTGTTTCGCGAGGCCTGCAGTCGAGGGCAGACAGACAGACGCGAAGAAAAACGAGGAGGAGACGCGAACGGGGGGTGGTTTCTGGGCGAAGAGGGACGGAGACGGAAACAGAAACAGGTCGAGGGAAGAAGAACGAGCAGAGCGAAGGGAAGATGTAAAGGAGAATCTATGTGTACGGAGCAAAATGTATATACGATATATACCTGCACATATGTGTAATCGGGTATAAAAGTTTGCGTAGGAAGGAGGCGCGAAAAGGACGACGAAAACTGGAGCGAAAATCGGGGATGAAGGTGAAAAGACAAAAATGGTTCCCTCGGGGGCTAATATTTTTTTTTGCTAATAACGTGCAAGAGACGAAATTCCACGATGGAAGTATTACAGTCGTATATATCGACTCTAGAAGCTCGTTAAAAGGTCAGGGTTTTACCTAAGCAATTCTCCTTGTCGGAGCCTTTAGTCCAAGTCTTATTTACTATCCGATTTCTAGAAGTTGGTACTTGGCATTCCGCGCTTAGTGCCAATTATCGTCAGCCTTTGAAGTGCGTTGTAATTCCGTATGCTTGGGAGAACTTTACGTCGTTTAACTTCTGTTTTGTATACCGAATGGTGTTAATCTGTTAACTCAGTGGCGTACCAGTACCCGTCCAAAATTTTGCTTTTAAACAATTCGAAACCGCGTTATTTCAATTTTTGTAACAAATGTGCATCAAATTAAGAGCAGCCAACTGATATGGTTTTAAAGAATACTCGACTTATATTGTCAATAATATAAAAAGCAGCGAAGTGGGTTAACGATATTATCGCTTGACGAAGTTTTTCTAAATGACCAGGTTTCCAAATGGTGTCACGAAAGATAAAATGTTTATCTCAACAAAAATTGCACCGTACACGTTTTTGAAAATCTTCCTTTTAGAAACGTCTAAATATTTCGTTCCCCCGTTTTTCTTATCAAGATACATTCTCCGACCATTTTTCTAGCTTGAAAAACGTTAATTGGTCCCAGGGCAGTTTACGGTGTTAATAAATGAGGCGAATAAACGAGTAACGTGAAATTAGTGTGATAAAATCAGCACACACGACGAAGAACGGTAGAAACCGCGCTATCTGCATGGCGAGGCAAGAAGTCAGAAACAACGAGGGGCTTGGAAGAGGAACGGAGGAAGAAATAGGAGAGTAATTGACAGAGAGAAACGGGAGTAGAAGAGGGAATATCGGAAAAGGGACGGACACGGAGGTATTGTTTTGCGACGTGAATGCGTACAATCGAATGAACACATACGAGGAAACGTGCACGACCACCGACGCGATCTTTACACCTATAGTCGACTCATGGTTCGCGGGTCTATGTTCCAGGCATTGTCAAATGTCGCGGATCCAGACAAGAGCAACGGAGTTACGTGACGTCGCGAGCTCGGCGCAGGGGTTCGTTTTCTCTCCGGTCCGTGCATTGTCGCCGTTACAGTTTTCGTTTTAGGCAGGACTTATCCCTATCTGTCACATTTCACCGCGAGCACGCGGAAAATTTTAATATCGCCACGGCGAAGAGAACGAGGTCAGAGTGGTTTACGCGTTTCCCTCTCGTTACATTTACTCTTCGACGCGACAGATGTTTAACCCGCGCAGACACCGCCCCACCGAAGGGTGAACGCAGGTTTCGAGCATCGACGAGACTCGAATTTTCTTATCTTTATCGTCTGGCTTCTTCTATGCCACGATACAATCGCGAATCATCGTACGGGAAAACGTTTTTCGCTGGAAGCTCCAAAGGGAAACGTTAACAAAGGTGATGGCTTCCCTCTGGGAAGCGACCGGACCGATTTACGTCACCGTTTTATCTATTATTTTCAATCCACGGAGTTTTACGTGCGCGTTTCGTACCGATGTGGCAAATTAGCAACAATTGTTGGTAGAAATATTCGCGACGTTACTGTTTATTTATTTTAAAATCCTTGGCATCTACCTTGAGCATTTCGATTTCTTGAGAAAATACTGGCACGTTAAGAGAACCACTCGGATGCAAATTAAGTAGTCTATAGTCTACCGTAAACAGCAACTAAAGAAAATAGTATTCTCAATTTACGGTGGGTTGAAACTCATCGTGAGTCGCTTAAAATACATTACGAATTACAATATTTCAAAATATATCGTGGATCTTAGATATTTTAAAACGTGTATTGTAAAATGTATGAATATATAATTGACTGAAAATTATAAAACTCGCTTTTCCCCCTCAGTTAATTGGTGATTTATTATTTAAGGTTATTTGCATATTAACACCGTATTATTGTTTTGGAATTTATTAATACTTGGTTATTTTGGATCACGAGTGCATTATTGGAGAACTTCGTACGACATATGCGAAGTAGAGCAACGGGATTTAAATAGAATCGAGGAATAATTGAAGCCTTTAACAGAAGATATCAATAATGGTCATATCAAAATTCGAATATTTTTGGATCTGACGTGTACCGAATCGGGATATTTCTTTTTAAAAAATATACATTGCTGGTTGAAATAGAGTATAGTGTATTACATTGTTTAAATATTTTGTGGCGTACAAATCTATAAAATGGGGAATTGCTGTAGATCAAGATTTGGAACGCGTAGTTTAATAATACTGTCCTAATGCTTGTGGTTTCGTATTCTACGAGAACTCTGCCCCTTAAAATTCTTGAAACGCTTCGACCGAATCGATGGCATGTCGGGAATTGGTTAAACCGATATCGACATTTTCGTTCCCTTGGAAATAGGAAAATTATGACCGGCCATTTGAAATTATGTTCGAAACGGAACAGGTGTGACGCTTCGAAAATAAGTTCCATATAATATATTATATTCACATTGGGCAAACTATGAATTGTATTTGAAACCTTTAAAATGATATATCTAGAATTTTAGAAGAAATTTTTATATTAAATTTTACAAACATTGAGCCCTCTTTGTTTACGTACAAACTGAAACATAGTCTATTTTAAAAATTCATCAAACTAGTCCTCTTCACGATTTCCTTTTTGTTTGCTGTCCAAAACGCACGCCTATTTTATTGAATAAAGTTTCTCAGTATATAATTCATGTTTTCGTTTCTGCGTGGGTACAGATTACACTGTTTCAGCTGTTTTAAAACGCGATTACAAATTGTTGATCGATAACGTTTACCGATGAATAACCCGTTACGACCACAATCGACGTTATTGATTTTATCGAAGCGAAATTTACTCGTGATTTAAAATACTTCGAGCTCCCAGACGGACTTCATATCGGAAAATACGCTCAATATATGTGGTTGTTCGTGAAGTACCGTGCCTCGAATACGTTTCAATCTCTTACGACTTGTGACACCGCGATGAAAACTTCGTGGTACGTCTCGCGTGGTCGGGCAGGAGCTCGTAAATTCATTAGTTCAATATGAGGAGGCCACACATCGCGCGACGCTATACAGAACAAATTCCTTGCATAAGTTCATCCTTCTTGCGGGAGGAAAGTTATTGCACGACATTACATAAACTACATGCAGCTTGTTTGCCGCATCGAAAATTCCGTAGCTGCCATGTAGTTAATCTTGTAACTGATAAACTTCTTCGACTTTAATGAGCACGTAAATTAACAACAGTTCTTTCATCGCGGATCCTTTGAAAATTTTTATCGATAAGAATTACAACCACCGAGATACGATTGAAGGTTAGAATTCATTTAACGATATAAGAATAGAA